GGTATCTTGGGCAGGAGGTGAGCTGGAACTTGAAGGGAATCAATTCAATTGAGATGATGGAGCTGGAATGGCCCAATTAAAGTTGACAGCTTTATTATAACGTAGTTGTTGTACTGGTCTACAGGGTATCCTGACGTCGTGCCTGTGCATCCCTGCTCTACTGTGCGGGCTGAAATGAATTTCATGAATAAATCTACTGACTGAGTGCCGACTGCTCTGCACTTTTCTGCTCTGTTTGGCTTAAAAGCTTAGCGTATAAAACTCAAATTATGCGCTTCGAGCTGCTGAGCTCTTAACTATGTGTGCGTGTGCGTGCATGCGTGTGTGCGTGTGTGCGTGTGTGTGGGTAGTCGTGTTTACGTGTGAGTGACTTGATGGTGTCTGTGACTCCTGTTGCTTAGAGCAATTAAACGATAAGCGTAATCTACGGCGTCAATTTGCCAATTGTCGCACTCACAAATGCGTGAAGGCGTCAGCGCGGCATTTCAATTAGCCACCAATTCCCAAGAGCACTTACTAACAACAACAACAACAACAACAACAGCAACTACAATAACGAAAGCAACAACAACAACAGCATCGATTTCGACAGTTGGATATGTATATATATGTATGTACATAGATATGTATATACACATGTACATATATCCTTACCCCCAGCTGATGCTTTTGCATCACTCGCGTGCGTGTGTGTGGGTGTGCGTGTGCGTGTGTGTGTGTGGCCTTTGCGCATATTTCATGAACTTGAGAACGAGAACAAACACAGCGCACAAATGCCGTGAGTGTTCAAGGCGATGGCAATGCAATGCTCCCCGTGGCTGTGGCTCCGTGTTGGGGCTGTGGATGTGGCTGGGCGTGTGTGGGTGTGGGTGTGGGTGTGGGGGGCCGCTGAGTGCGGCCAATTAGCACAAAGGCATTTGACTAAGTACACAAAAGTGTTTCCGTTTAGGCAGCACGTCAAGTGACAATTAGCCAGGCCGCAGTCAGCCTGTGATTCGGTTTACATTTTTGAGAGGCCTCGAGGCAGCCGCGACGTCGCGACTTGGCATGCACATAAATAGCTCGAGCGGCTCTCTCACACACACACACACTCTCTCTCTCTCTCTCTCTACACACACACATATATGTGTATTTGATAATCAGCGCAAAGCCTAAACAAGTTATCGGCTTAGCATTGAGCACTCAGAGAGAACTTAGGGAAATTCGACTTAGAAGCTCTTGAGCTAAAATGAAGATGTATGATGATTTTATTTTATTTTATTTTATTTTTTTTTTAATAAATGAACAACTGCTACCTTTTGGGCTACTTTGTCTAAACATAAATTAAATTATGCCCATAAATATTCTTAGATCTATAAAACGTACGACCATGCGGAAGAAATATGTTTTAAAGTGCAGTCAATACAAATAAAGTAAGCGTGGTAGCAGATGCATTTTTAGGCTCTGTGCTGCGGATCTTGAGGGAGCTGGTACCTAAGGCTTGTCCCAGTACAGGTGCTGAATGAGATATCATATCATTCGAGGGCACACTCGACTGCCCAAGCTCAGCAGCTATTCTCGATTCGCTCTTCGCTATTTCCCCAACTTGATTCAACTATGATTACAACATAACAATGTCTTTGCTTGACTTGACATCTGCATGCTCTAATAATATAGTAACCACATGATCTTAATGCAATTTCCACTTTTCTCTCTCTCTCTATCTCAATCTCTATCTCTATCTCTCTGTGTTGCATTTTGCAGCGTTCTATCGCGGAAGCTAAAGCCACATCTGGTCGCCGACACCGTCAAGCAGTACATAAGTCGGGCGCAACGAACGACAAAGAAGGGTTCTCAAGAGCAACAAAATAACATGGAGTTTTTACGTGGTGTCTATGCGTTTATGCAAGTGAGTAGATCATCGGTGAGTGTCAATTATTTCCATTTTAACAAATGTACTAATCCATATCAACTTGCTCTATTTTTATTCCGGCAAAACCGTTTTGGTTCTTGTTTACCTCTATGTTTTTGTTTTTTTTTTTTTTTTT